TTGTATTTCTTGCGACAAGACTGCACCAAGTCCCGTCTGACTGGCGTCAGTATCTAAGACGAATGGCAAAGCGAAGTCTGGGTGAGCGAGTCTTGGTGCATTGACCAAATGAAATTTAAGTTTTTCGAATGCTGTTTGGCACTCAGCAGTCCATTTAAATTCTTTCCCTTTTTCCGTAAGTTTGAACAAGGACTTGGCTATAGAAGAGAAACCACTGATAAATCTACGGTAATAGCCACATAACCCTACAAGTGACCTAACCTCGGTGACATTCAAGGGTACAGGCCATGTGTCAATGGCTGAGATCTTCTGTGGATCAGTCTGAATACCTTCTCCGGATACTTTATATCCCAGAAACAACACCTCTTTCTCAAATAAAGAACATTTCTTTGCTTTTAGTTTTAGGCCGGCTTCTTCAAGTTTTTGAAACACCTGTTCTAAATTCCATAGGGTCTCTTCAAAATTTCGACCAAATACAATAATGTCATCAATATAAACTAAGCAAATTTTGTAGTTTAAACCAGCTAACACCGTCTCCATAAGCCTTTCAAATGTCGCTGGACTGTTACAGAGTCCAAACGGCATTACTGTGAATTGGTATAGTCCGTTTCTTGTTACAAAGGCAGTCTTTGGCTTATCTCTTTCCTCCATCTCAACTTGCCAGTAACCGGAATGCAGATCCAATGTACAAAATAACGTTGCCCCTTGTAAACGGTCTAATGAATCGTCGATCCTGGGTAAAGGATATGCATCCTTAACAGTTTTACTATTTAAGGACCTGTAGTCCACACAAAATCTTTTGGTACCGTCCTTTTTCTCTACTAGTACCACGCCTGCAGCCCATGGACTAGAGGACGGCTCTACGATTCCTTTTTCAATCATATTCTCTATCTCTTGGTCGACAAAATCAGCTGCGTGATGAGGTAATCTACGTGGGGGTTGTTTAGTAGGCTTAGCATTTTCCGTATTTATTCTATGTTTGATGACAGAAGTTCTCCCGAAGTCATCTTTTGATTTGGAAAATAAATGCTGAAAACGAAGGAGTATTTTCTTTGTTTTCTCCGCTTCATCAGGATTCAAATCTTTGATGGCCTCGGCATACAACTCTTTCAGGTGGTCTGGAATACACCTGTCTTCGCGTCCAGTGACGTCTAATTTATCTTGACTCTCCACAACATTTGCAACAGCCGATGTGGTTCCTACGACCGTGTTTTTGTATACAATCTCAGGACTCCCAGATAAGTTCATCAATCTTACCATGACATCATCTCTGGGGTCAATCAAAGATCTCGCAACCAAAGCTTTACCTCTTTTCTGAAACTTTTCGTAAGCCTCCATTACTAATGGTCCCTTGCCATTTATATCGCTAGGTGCAAGTAACTGACCTGGACATATCATTTCACTCTTTGGTGGAATAGTTATTGTCTCCTTCAGGCTGACTCTGAAACATCCTAAGTGACCCTCAAGTTGGAGCTCATGCTCAATTCCTCCAACATACATTTTCCCTAAAGAAACATCCACCAAACATTTATTTTGTTTCAGGAAATCTAAACCTAAGACGCCGTCGGTACTGATGTCAGCGACAACTGCTTCAAAAGTGAATTCGCGACTTTCCGTCATAAAGTTGGATGTACACTTACCCTGCACTTGCAATGGAGTTCCATCGGCTAGAATTATTTTCTGTGTTACGGGCATTAGTTCGACAGTTTCCGTGCTAAGCATGTTTTCAAATACTTTATTTGACAAAATTGTCAGTGTAGCCCCGGTATCCACTAACAAAGTACAAGGCACCTTATTAACATTAGTCTTTATAAATAATCCAGACTGAACATCAACTCGTGTTTGAGTGACTGAACTCGTATTAGACTTCCTATTCTTTGGCTTAGCCTCGGTTACCTCTTTTTGTTCCACTGCCTCCTTTGGGGATGCCGTGTATGCATTGCTTGCTTTACCACTTATCTCCGTTCTCCTTTTAACATAACAGTCTTTAGCCGTGTGGCCTCGCCTACCACAGTTATGGCACTTAAAAGGGAACTTGGTTTGGTCGGAACTTGGTATCGAACTTGATTCATCAGATTTTAGTTGTCTACTGGTCTCTTTGCGTTCTGACAAAGTGGTTATTTTGTTCTCGAGGTCTCGCAGTGACGACCGAAGTTCATCTCGTAATTGTATCAAATTTTCCCGTACCTTTGCATCAGTTTCCGATTGCCCCTCTAATTCACTATGTGCTGTTCTGGCGAAACTTACATCGTGTCTTCTCTGGCGCTCAGCTCTACAAAAAGCTTCAATCTCCACGGCCAGCCGAACTGCTTCATTTAAGGATTTGGGCCGAGACTGCTGTATTCTAAGGCGCATATCAAAGTCCGTTAAAGCGTCGATGAACTGATCTTTAGCAATCATCTCTGTAACCTCACGTGGTGCCGTTGGGTACGCTAAATGGACTAGTCGTCGTATACTTTCCCCTAATTCTGGCAGTGTCTCCTTTGGCCTTTGATGTTTTTCCTTTAACATGGCTCGATAATGTTTCGTCTGATTAGTCGGTGCAAATCTTGCCTCTAACGCTTCACACAAATCTCTATATGCACAAGCATTATCTGTCTTCATATTTCCAAGAACTGTTTGTGCTTGGCCTCTTAATGATGCTGCCAGGTACAAGCCTTTTTGTCTATCATTCCACAGGTTGATGCTACTGCATGCCTCGAAATGAGCTTTGTAATCAATCCAGGACCCAGTACCATCAAATGTCGCAGGCTTCATCACAGTTTTACCAAATGTGTTAGTGCTTGGACAATAACCACTGTTTTCCTTCACTGGTTACGCTGCACCTAATGGTGTACTTGGTACAGTCGGCATAGGTTCTCTGTCCTTTGCAAGACTCCATGTAACACTTGTGGGTGTTGACATTGAGCTTACACCTAACGTACTCCAGTGTACATGCAGCGTTGAAATCCGTGGTGTATATGCTGATTTACCCAGTGACACTCCTGAGTATGCCGACTTTGGTGTGGTGTAAACATCGCCTCTGTCCCAAATATCTTTGGTTCCAGGAACATGGAAATCATAAGCTTTGGCCTTGAATTCCTCGTATCCACCCATAGCTCCTTTCACATTACTTGCTTTTGTGAGGTTTACGTCAACTTTACCCATCAACTCATCTAAGCTGTCGTCGGCAGTCTTTTGTCTCAAGTCTACACCAGAATCAGTAACTAAGGAGGGCCTACTAACATTAAATGAGCTTGGCGTAGACTTTAACTTTTCTAACGTTTCTCTTAATTGTCGTCGTCTAACGTCAATTTCTTCAAGATCTGCCCACAGTTCTGATTCTTGTTCTTTCTTCATGTTTAATATCTATATACCAAGTAACCAAACAAAAATACTTGGTACTCAACTATATTAAATCTTACTGCGGTGCACGTACCTAACACAGTGCACACAGAACTCTGTACCTGGTATCTGAACCAAGAAACTGATCTGCGTTCACGAGAACCCAGTGACAGAACACAGTTCACACCGTTAAATAAACTTAAACACAGATTCTAACAATTAAATGTACCCTGTATCCCTTTAAGCTGCCACCAAAATGTAACGTGTTACCTAATTAAGGGTCCGTTTTCAGGAGATACAGGGTCAAATATATATAAAATTTTCCTCTGGCTCTATCTGAGCCTATAATTAATATGTGGAATCAATATCATATACAAAAATGATTATTCGTTATTTATAGGGGATGCTTGTCCCTGTTTTTTTTTATTGAAACAGCAGGACACAATTAGAGGTTAGTTCTTTGTAACCTGGTACTGTGACTGGGCTCCTTGCACCTGGTAACCAAGTTCCTATTGAATTGAGCACTCGGTGCTCACCCTTATATACTCAGGATTACTACACCTTGTGCTTCAATTCAATTCCTTGGTTAAATACAGACCGGTGCTCTGTACCCTAGCCTTATCTTTCTTTTTCCCTTTAAATACTTCTACTTTTTATTACTACCTTTAATCTTCTATTCCGCTTCTTGCCTCTTCTGTGGGTTTCAGAAAGAGAGGTCGAGACTGCCTCTGCAGTCGTTTATATAGCAAAGGGCTATACCATTCAAACAGGGGTGAACAGGCTCCTGGACTGTTCCATTATTCCAGGTCACACAAGCGTTTGAATGGTATAGGCCGATTGCCTTATTCATTACTCATTACAATATTATAATTCTTTCAAATACTAAAAGTATATTTAATTCATATATTATCAAACTAAAAATTTTCATAGTAATGCATGAGATTCGCTGAGAGACCTATTTGAGATGGTTGGCACTACTTGAATTATCGTTGGGCGAGATCTAATGGCATTGGAAACACACCATGAAACCGAACCAGGATTTGACTCCCTTTTGCTCGCTTACATAGAACAAGGAATATCTAGAACGTTTCTTTTAATAATCATTATTTAGCTGTATGAGCTCTTGTGTGTTCTTTCAGATAGATACTAAAAGAATCTAAAGCTATTTGTAATCCTTAGAATAGCATGCTTTTATTTGACCATTGCAGAGAAAAACGAACGCCAACTCTGCACAAAGCTGTGATTTGGATGACTGTGATTTGTTAACCTTCAAAGGCCTAATCTCTTTGTTCAATTTTAAAAAGGGGGGAGATAACGTATAAATTGTCAAGAAATATAATACGACTGGGTATTATTTCTTTCTTGAAAAGATAAAAAAAAAGGGGGGTGCCCCTAAACTCGAAAATCCTATTTCTTTGGGAGGTGGGGTACGCGGTGGTTGCATAGTTTTGTCTGGGAAATATGTGGGCCAGCAACCCCCCCCCCCCCCCCCATGCTTTGCGTTCCTGATATCAACAAAGATGTAATTATGTATTCTTAATTTATAGAAAATCGTCGTCTTTTCATGATAACTCCATATATCTGGATTTATTTTCTTTTCGTAGGTAGCATTTTTTAAAAATTCATCTAATATAATTCGGCTTTTTCAAGGTTGTCCTAATTGGTTTTAAAAAGTATTGTTTTCAAGATGGCTGATCAAACAGAAGGTAGATCTTGGATAGTCAAAAAAAATCTATTTATTGTGTACCCCATTTCCCTGTGAAAAATAATTCATTTTGGTTTGATTTTGTTTACTACAGAATTTTTTTTTTATTATAACACTGATATCTACGTGTTCCTCGCTGCCGTGAGTGACCAACTAAAGCAGTTCACTGAACAAGAACATGGGCATGTTGGGCCGATGATATATACACGACCGTCGTGCGCATAGTAAAGAAAGTCTATTTACACGACCGTCGTGCGAATAGCTAATGCAAATTGCTGAGATATATACACGACCGTCGTGCACATAGGTTAGAAAAAAATCTATTTACACGACCGTCGTGCAAATTGCAATCGCATATGCCAGAGATTTGCACACGACGATAATATTGTATACACGAATCCGGGATGTTCGCACCGATTCTGTTTCGCCCGAGTGGTTCGCACCAGGACGATTCGCGCCGATTTCAGCGCGCAATATCTCACGTTATATTTTAAATATATCACATTTTGTTTTTTTTTAATTTATTTATTAACTTTAAGATAAAATGTTATATGTTATATCATATGCCTGCTCAAATTCATGACTTAATAATATTGTCTTTTATTAATTGTCGTGTACTCATTATTTGAATTTCTAATTCAATAATTAGTAAACGACAATATGCACTTTCAAAAATAACGGATCGTAAGGTGTTCGTTTGCCTGTGTGTTCAACATCTCAATGATACTCCACAGTAGGGCTGGGTATTGGCCCGAGATTTCGTATTGCGATATATTGCGATACTTTTAACTGTATTGCGATATGTATTGCAATATTTTCAATGTAATAAAAATGGCATTTTCTTACTTTATTTACTTTAATTTACATGCAGAATGTACCTAACTATGATAAGTAACCAACACGGGAAAAAATCGTGTTGATTTCATTTGAGTTATGCTTTGAAATGTTCCCACAAAAACAACTTCTGTCTTAATGTTTGGCTTACTAACAAACTTTCATAAGTCCATTTTTATATTTAATGACAAAATTCCTTAATTTAAGTATATTGCCAATATATCGATATTTCAAAATCGTATTGCGATACGATATTTTTTGTCATTGTATTGCAATATATTGAAATATCGATATTATTGCCCAGCCCTACTCCACAGTCATTTCTTTTCACATCCCTTTCTTTTTACGGTACAGCTTTGAAATTCATGGATATGTTATAATTGATTATTTTACATACATGTATAAAATATATGGACGCACCAGCACAAGGATGGTATTCAGTGTTGAAGTGTGCCAAAGAATGAAACCGAATCGTACTATAATTTCTACCTGTTTCATAAATATGTAAATAAAGCAGTTTATTAGCCATAAAAAAGAAACAAATCTTTATTTTAAAAAAAATAATGAAGATTAATAGAAACCAAAAAAATAAAGGAAAGAGGGGTGATCACTTGGCCATCCATTGTAAAAGAGAAGTGCGGATCACCAAGTGTATAGACAATAACTTTCACACTTGCACCTACGTTACTACCAGGGTTATATCCTCGGACCTCCTATATACTCTTTCGGTCCTTGACCCACAGAGTGCATGCACTCGCACATATATGCTGACGGTATTCTGGATCTGCAGCGATGATCAAATTGATGAATGAAAAAAAAAAGTGAACAGTGAATCAAAGAGCCATAGCTATCTTACAGGCGACTCAAGAATTAAAAGGGAATTGTATGGAATCCGGATAGGGCCATGCATTTCACTATCGCATCATCGCACCTTTTGGCATTATAGGATTTGATCATGTGACTAACTTCCTTTCATACCCAGGTATAACAATGAAACTCTTGAAATGACATCTTATATATTTCTTAAAAGTAGTAAAGAAATCATAGAAAAAAAAATACACAACTTAAAAAATCTTCAAATAAAATTTGGAATCACAATTTCAGCAATCACACCATGAAGTCATCGATATTGGATGGATAAATTTAATCAAGAAAGAATCTTATACCAAATCTTAAAATAGGAGAAGAAAAATTGGGAAAATTTTTTTTTCACCATTTTTAAGATGAAGCCACCTTCAACCAAAATAAAGTGCCGTCATACACAAAATTATTTAAATGTGTTTTTTTCTGATTAAAGGTCGTCTTTATCACAGGTGCTTGGGGACGGGACGGGGGGATAAAAATTCATACCCTCTGACACTAAAACACTTCTGCTTCGGTATCAGAGGGTATGGATTTTTATATATAAAAGGCAAGTTTTAGCTTAAATTTTTGATTTTTTTTTTAAAAAGTAATAGTTTGTAAATATGTCATAGAAAAATAGTACGGAACACGGTTGGGGGGGGGGGGGGGGGTTGGGGGGTTGGGAAGCACATGTGGTCTTTATCAACAGTTTATCATCATTGAGATACATATGTCAATATTTACTACATACTCCATAAAAACTTGATGATTTTTATAAATAGCATTTTAAGGGAACTATTAACATTTAAATATCAATATAATTGTTTAATTTGAGATTTCACGAGTATAACAGTATAAAACTAAGGTTTTATGACAAGTTTTTGGTTTACCGTTATAAAAGTGTGTATTAAGAATTCAGTACTAGAGTAGGTGAAAATGCTTATCAAATGCGCCATGGCTCCCCCCCTACCAAAATATTAAGTCAATATTTTATTAAAATGACTTGTTTATATATATACAAATACATGGGTAGTTCTAAAAGAAACAGATTTACATTACAACGATCTGTCCATTGGACCTAAATGTCATTTTATTGTATAAATTAACATCATGAAAGAAAGTTTTTATGTTTTCTTACCAAAAGGCTTTTGGGGCTTTAATTACTGCGTGCCGAACTTCTTTTCATGATAACGCCATAATAAGAAATATATCGTGGATAAATATTATATATAAACACGACGGTCGTGCAAATAGACACTGAAAAATTATATACACGACGGTCGTGCAAATAGTCACTGAAAAATTATGTACAAGACGGTCGTGCGAATAGCCGTTGAAAAAGTAAGTGCACGACGGTCGTGCATATAGACACTGCCGGCATGTTGTGTCAGTGCATGGCTCTATTCCTACTGCTATCTGTCTTTGTTTTTCTTGAAAAATGCAACACAAAAGGGGAAAAAGGGTTTTTCTTGAAAACTCATTTCCATTAGGGTCGTTAATGAAGGACAGTGACCAGTCTTCATCATATGATTGACAGGCCACATGGTCATGAGTTTTGGTTTATAAATATATGTGGTTGTTACATATAATTATAAATCAAGGTCCTAGTACGTGTAGTACCTGTGGTACAATCAGTAAATTTTCCACAATGTCAACTTCTCCAGCCTTTCTCAGACAAGTGGAAAAGGAAGTTTATCCTGTACTGAAATAAATACAGATAATACGTTAGTTTATATATTGATGCAAATGTTCGCGTTATTTATAGCTGGCATTTTCAGTGTAGACACGATTTGATGCTACACCTTTATTTTTTTGATGACTACTTCCTGTTTACATTAACTACGTCATTATTTATCGTCTGCAATCTAAAAGTAGGTTAAATCTGTCCACAAAAATCATGGCTGAGAATCGTCATTATGCATCGGATGGTCTTAAAAATTCTGTTGTTTTATTAGTTCAAAATGGAAATTCTTTTCAAAAAGTTGCAGATATGCTTAATATGTCTAAAACAACTGTGCACCGAATTTATAGAAATTTTTGTGAACGAGGAACTGTTAAAACTGCCCCGAAAACAGGTAGGAAAAAAAGTTTGAGCGATCGTGACGGGAGAAAAATTTTGCGACAAGTGAAAAGTAACAGGAAAACTCCGCTGGCTGATTTGACAGAAACATTCAACAAAAATGAAAACAGAAATGTGTCTAAAAAGACAGTGTGGCGTTTTTTAAAGGATCAAAAATATCATCGCTGTGTCTGTAAGAAAAAAATAAGGATATGTAAACAGACAGCGGAGAGTAGCATGGTGTCGTGCGAAATCAACATGGACAGACGATGACTGGAAAAAGGTAATTTTTTCAGTCGAGAGTCAAGTTGTTATTGGCAGTGACAATAAAGTTTATATCTGGAGAAAAAGTGATGAGGCATTTAGACCAGAATGCATTTCACCAATAAAAAACAAAAAACTTTCCGTAATGGTTTGGGGTTGCATAACCTATCATGGCGTTGGGACATTAACACGTGTGGAGAGAAACATAAATTCAGATAAATATATTCGAATTATAGATGACAATCTATGGCCAGTGATAGCAAGACACTTTCCAGACAATAGATACGTTTTTCAAGATGATAATAGTTCAATAGGGCAACGAAAGCTTTTATGGAAAACAACCATATCAATACAATGGAGTGGCCAGCACAAAGCCCCGATATTAACATCATAGAAAATTTATGGTTAAAGATTAAAAGAAGAATAGAACAATCCATGCATGAAATTACTTCTGTGGAACAATTATATAATAAAATATTTTCGATTTGGACAAGTTTTGACTGCGTAACAATTCAAAATTTATATCGATCTCTCCCCTCAAGAATCGCCGCGGTACGTAGGGCCAAAGGATACATCACAAAATATTAAGGTAAGTTTTAATAAGCTTATTTTTGTCAGGTAAATGCAAAATTGTCTCATCTTTCAAATGATGTAATTTATTTTTCTTAGTTGTTACGTAATATGGCTATTTTGAGCATCCAATCAAACGCGAGTATTTTCCAAATATTACATGACGTCGTAAATCGTTCCGATACTTTTGTCCACAGTCTGTAGAAGGGATTACATTTTGACAATAATAACAGTCTTCATGAAAAAGAAAAATCATCACAGGACATTTGGACAGACAATTAAAACAATTTCACAGGACCAAACAAGTTTTCACCGGTCCAAAACTTTGATCATATAATGATCATAAGGATGTTTCTATATATCATATGAATCAATAAACAAATAGCACATTAAAATATAACTGAAATGTTTCTTTTTCTTTCCTGGTACTGTCCTATCGAACTATTTTAGAAACATTAAAGTAGGTTTTAAAACAATCAGGATCGACAAAATGTTTTAAATAATGTGTTTTGGTATTAGTTAAAGCATCTATATGATGATATAGAAAATATAAAATTTAAAACACAATCAAAACAAACCTCGATTGGACAATCGGACCGATTTTACTAGTTAGTGAATCAGACCAATAAGATTTTCACCTGTTTTGTCCGACGGACTGGTGCTTTTGGGATAGACTGTAATAATTTGTATAAATTTTTAACAACCAGTGATGTAAAGCATTTGAGATATTTTTCTTTGCTAGCTGGAGAGGCCTAAGATTTATTAGCTACTAGAAGTAGCTATTTCAATGTAGATTTTCATAATTTTGCCAATTGGCAATCCTCAACTGACTTTGCTATGTTCAATTCAAACCTTGGATGTGATTAGGTGATTGGTATAGGAAAACGCATTAGGTCGAAACATTTTTCAGTCAGAAACTGCCTTGTAAACTCACTTCATGATTCACTTTGCATAAAGTTCTTCAAAAAGGTTTTTAAACTAATATTTAGTTAATTAACTTGTCTATTTTTTCATTGTATACATATATGTAAGTAGTCTTTGAAAGCAAGGATTATAGTGTTGGGCATGCCACAAAGTAACTCGGAATTTAAAAGTACAACATTTGAATGAAATTCAAATAAGATCACATGATTGAATTAAAGCAAGATGGTAGAACACCTTTGACATCAGAGGTTAGTGTGCAAGGTACCAGCCACCTGAGGAGATCTGAGTGTGATTTTGCTTTTTATTTTGAAATAGAAAAAAAATGCAAGTACAGTTAAATTTTTCACACTACATGTATTGAAATGCCATCACTTTCCAGTGGAGGGAGGCAAATTTAGATCTGTAATTTACAGTAGTGCTGGGTATCGCGAAGGAAAAATCGTATCGCGATATATTGCAATATTATATTTTGTATTGCAATATATCACGATATAAATATTTTATAATTTTTTGCTTTTCGTCAAGGTTAAATGAAAACACAAACTCAAATTACATGTATTCTGGAGTTGATATTCCAAGTGCCTGATAGCGTTATGTCGGCACAAGCTGCAAGATAAGTTTTTTTGTGGCACAAAGACAACTTGTTGAATTCAGATTCAGCTTTAACATGAAGGGGTTTCATATAACAGTTTTTCGTTTTTGAAAGAGACATGTCTCTGGTTTCTGATCACACTTCACGTCGCTTGCCGCCATATTTTACCTTGAAAAGGGCAAATAACTCTTTTTGTAACAATTTATAGCATATCGAACCCGAACCGGTATTCACAAAAAAATACCACGATACGTATTGTGAAGAACGAAATCGGGATACACCGGTTAACCGGTAGTATCGCACAGCACTAATTTACAGTCAGTGCCCTTAAGCAGTGGGGGGTCCTTATTGTGCCAGCACCTTGTATGACACAGGACGTGAGGTCTCACCCAAAGGACCAGCCTCCAGGTCCCTCAAAGAACCCATAAAGTAAAGATCAACTCCTTACTTCACAACGCAAGAGCACAAATTCCAGCTACTGTGCCATCTGTGCCAATTGTTGGTGACTGGCACAATTAGGTTTGAAAAGATTAGATTTATTACAGTCAGGAACCAAACATCTAGGTATGCACACATCAGAAGTTGTTCAGAGGCTAGATTTGACCCACATTTTCTGACTGAATGAACAGGTTGAAGGTCCTCAACAGCCCCATTCCTTATTAATTTTAAGTTCCAATGGGAATTAAATTTGCCTGGATGATGCATCTAAGGTCTTAGATTCTTATACATCTGGCCTACATTTCCAGATGACTGACTGTTTATGTTTTTGGAGTAGGTTCATTCCAAATAAACTATGAAGCCTTAGGTGTAACATCTGACTTGTCTGGATGATGTGACCTACATTTTCACCCCCCACCCCCATCCCCCAAAAAAATTAAATGTACACACACCAAACTTAGGGAATATTGCATGAAGATATGCACACAGCAACCGTTCAATTGATGAGAGCCTGTCTTCACTTAAAAATTAAACAAAAATTTAGGCAAGCCTTGTAATCTTTGATTACATTTGTTTAAATTAAAAAACAAAATTTGATAGCTTATATACATGTATAGCTATCAACACATTTTATGTTTTGTCCATAATAAATGCTAAAGGAATGGGGGTGGCCTATTTTTTGAAATAAAAATAAATTTTATTAAATTTAAAAGCCTGCATTATGAGTAGGCTGGCACAGTACATGTAGGTGAATGACATTAATAAGCTGACTAATAAGACAAAATGGTTTATCAATCCCCTAGAGCACCTATGTCTATTTAGACTTTGAGGAAGTCCTGTTTTATTGACTGTCTGATATTATTGGAAAAGTTTTTTATCAGAATTCTTTATGCAATATTTTTTTAAGCTAAAACAGCCAAAATTCCCTAGTGAGGTTTTCTGATTGAAGTACGATTGATAATTTTTCAGGAAATATTTTTTAGATTTCGAATTCTGAATATTTATTTAATGATATGTCTCAATCCTTATCATAATCCTAATTATGATAATAATAAAGAAAGAGTGAAAAGATTTAAAAACCATTACCAAACGGTTATATTGGCCACAGGCTAACAGCAAGTTTGCAGCAAACAGAATTGTTCTTGGGAAGAATATATTTTGTTGGCAGATGATTGCCAATAGCTACCAGAAACCTTCAACATTTCAAAAGCATGTGATGGATTTTCAGGACAAAGACTCTGTAAACTTCCTGCAGGAATGGACCAAAAACAATAACTTAATTGTTTGCCCCAACTTAGCAAAGTTTGCAGCAATGTTTGCTGCAAGGGTAAAGCAATGTTCCCGTGCAAGTTAGCAGCAAGGCATCCCTAATTTGGAAAATCACAGTGTTTGCCACCGACTTGCACCAAACCTCATTTGCATGGTAAAATCTTTGCTGCAAGATTGCTGCATACTTGCCACAAACTTGCTGCCAACACATAGGCTTTGTATATGCTGTTCTGGGTTCTTAAGCTTCACTGCCACAAGCTTGCAGCAATGTATGCCACAAGCCTGCAACAGACTGGCAGCAAATGTTTGCAGGAAGGCAATATTTTAATAAGGAAAGTTACACACCAGAAAAGTCACAATTTGAAATGAGACCTCAAATTTCAAAACTGTATGAATTAAAAGTGTTGTAATTTACAACTTTAGTTTTATAGTTTTACATGAATGCTTGTTCATGCATTCCAAAAGGTGATTAATTTTAAAAGCCCTTATTCTGCTTTTTGTAAAATGTACTTCTCTCAAATTTGCCAGTATTTCCACTTAACCAGGGACCAAGTTTTCCAGCCAGTCAGGTGGGAAACCTTCTTATGACCCAGGGAAATCCCCTCTGGAAGCAGGAAAACCCACAGTACAAAGTCCCGGGAAGAGAAAAGCCAGCGAGGAACCCCCACAACCAACTAAAGCACAGAAATTTGCCATGAAGTTTGGCTCTAAACCAGCAAACAAAGAGCCAAATACTGAATCAACCAATGAAAAGAAAGCTAAGGCAGCTCCAATTAAAATCTCTCTCTCTTCACAGGTACATGTTTTATACAGCTTTATGTAGTTAATTTTTTCTTTTATGTACTCAATTTGTGAATTCAATGCAGTTTGAATAAAATCTCAACTATGGAAAACACTACATGCATAATTCTGCTTGCTATTTTCAGCCAAAAGAAGTAGCCCCTGTCTTACCCAAGACTAAAAAAATAGCTTCTGTTTTTAATGAAGAGGAGGTAAGAAATACATTAGACATTTTTCACTCTAATTTGACATTCTTAAGTATAAGCAGCTCTCTCAGAGGCTGTGACCTTTCTGCTAGCTTTGGTGAAAATCTGTTGAGTTGATTCACAGACCTAGCTGTTAAAATGTTCATGTTCTAGTCTACTAGATCTATAAATAAAACTTAATTCAAATTTGTAATGTTATACAATTCTCAACAATATCCTTATACAATGCCATAAGTTTGATAGCAAAACATAATAATAGTTACAGAGACTAGCTGTTTAAACTATCCCCCTACCAGGCTTTCATCTGAAGCTTGTCAGATGCCTGCTGCCTGAGAAACTCGAGCAGGCAGTAATATACCCAATTCTTATGGATAATCCACCCCATGTGTATTTATAAATAAATGCAAACTACTGTAGTAGCCTTTTTTGTGATTTTTTGTGGTCTATTTTATGAATATGATAATAACGACACCCAAGAGTCAAATCCGCTTAAGAAACCACAGCTATAAATAAAGCTTGACCAAGAACTGACCCTAGGTGTTGGAGGCTGGCCATTTAATACCTCCAAGCATGACTTTGGAAACCAGGAATTAGTGTAACAATAGATCTATTCTTGTAATGAGTTTCCTGACTGAGGTTTATTAGTGTCCAGGCCTAATCACAATATCACTGTTAGATGACCAACACAGCTCTGTCTTCCTGGTCATTGTTAGCAAAAAGGTCAATGTCCAGCAAGAGAGACTAACAAGGAATTACATCCAGAAATTAATTAAGTCCTAATGTAATGGACATTTCTTTTCTTGGAGAGCCTGACATGCACAAATACACTAGGGCTTTTATGAAACATATTCTGGGGAATTATTTTTAAAAAATCAATTAGAATTCAGGAAGTACATTTTTTCTTAAGTAAAAAAATAGACATATAATGGGATTTTATTTAAAATAATTAACTTTTTCTGATGTTGTAAGATTTAAAATTTTTAAATAAAAGAAATGATAGTGTATTTGAAGAATTTTAATGTTTTTCAGTTTTCAATAAGCTTATTTGCTCTCTTTTATTTATGACATAATTTAATCATTTCCCAATACAATTCATTATTTGCTATTTGAATAAGTTCATTCGACTTAAGTTTACTCAAGAGTTATATGCACCTGGATGCTACCTTAGATTGAAATTCTGGTTCTCAGGCCCATGCGCATTTGTTTTGAGGTAGCCGCATTGCTAATTTTATTGTATTTTTTATAAAATAAAAAGTTGGTATTGCGGAAACCAATCCGGAAAAAAAAGTTTCGTCCTCATTTTTTTGTAGTTTAGTATTCAGATATCACTTCCGGTAGCCATTTTCAAAGATATTTTGGCTACTTCATTTGAAAATACATTCAAAGACATTGCCTACGATGTTCACACGCTGATAAGCAATGGATAAAGCAAACCATTTGATCAGACATGGAACGTATATCTGTGATTAAAAAAAATTATCTTTATTTTCAAGAAAATTCAAAAATTAAAATTAAAAAAATACCTCCCTCATCTACTTTATTGCCAATAAAATGATAAATAAAATGCCTCCCTCCCGCATCTGTTTTGGATAAAATTGGCCTGAGAACCAGAGAATTAAATTTATGTAGCCTTAACAATATTATTTATATTACCTACACGTACCAAACATTTTACGCATGTAGAAAAGAAGGAAGCATATCTGTGTTGATGATAAGTTGGTGATTAAATCAACCAAGAAACTTCAGTTCAAAAGGTTGCATTTTGCCATTGCAATGACCATGTACCGAAGTTCTTTGCAAGAGAACAAGGTCACAGGGTCAAGAAATGTTGAATGAAAGTTGTGGACAAGAATTTCAAATGAAGAACAATAGATTATACTTGGCATACTTTCAATTGGACAAGGTCACAGAGTGAAAGTGTAAAACTCTCTTCCATACCATAATGTTGTAATGGAGAGAAAAAAAGATCATACTTTTCCACTCAGCAAATATAGCATGATACATGCATATGCATAGGATATTTCATAGGTTATTTATAGACAAGGAAATATCATATGACCAGAAAGTGTAAGATTTTAAAGGACTTGCTGATGTAACATTCTTAGAGGCATATTTTTTTAAGTCATCTGAGTAAACTCAGGTGACCTAAGGCTATTGCTATCTCTTTTCGTCCATCGTCCGTTATGTGTTAACATTTGAACATTTTCAGCTTCTTCTCTACATTGTGAATTTCATGGCCCCTGTCCCCCTGGGGCCTGAGGGGTGGGACCAAAACCACTAAAATTAATGCAATCTTTAAAAATCTTTTTCTTAACTCCTGCACATCAAGCAGTCAAACTGTTGGCATGATTGTAATAAGCATTAAGTCCTCTACCAAAATTTTGAAATTAATGGCCCACGGACCAGGGGTTCTAGTGCTATGACAGGGCAAAATAGATTACATAGTGAAATTGCATTATTTCTTTGAAAATCTTCTTCTCTGCTCCTGAGTATTAATTAAACCAACCTAGTACAAAGTTATGATGAGTTAGAATGTCTCTTTCAAAATTGTGAATTTCATGGCCCTTGGGTCGGGGGTTCTTGTGTTAGGGTGGGGCTCTATTGATTATATACTGAAAGTCTGAAAATACATTAATTCTTTGAAAAATACTCTTCTCTGCTCCTGGCTATTACTGGTAAACAAACTAAGTGCGTAATTATTACGAGCAAGAATGCCTCTTCCAAAATTTTGAATTTTATGGCCCATGGATCAGAGGTTCTGGTGTTAGGGCAGGGCTCTATTGATTATATAGTGAACATACTTTAATTTTTTAAAATGTTCTTCTCTGCTCCTGGGTATTAAATAAACACCAAGTACATGCTTATGTGAATAAAAAACTAGGCTGCCTCATCCATAATTGTGAATTTCATGGCCCCCGGGTCACCGGTTCTGGTGTTAGGGTGGGGCTCTAATGATTATAAAGTGAAAATGCATGAATTCTTTAAAAATCTCCTCCTCTGCTCCTGGGTATTAAACCAATGAACTATGCACATAGTTATGATGAGGAAGGATGTGTCTTCCTACTTTGTGAATTTCAGGACACCTGGGTCAGGGGTTCTGTTGTTAGGGTGGGGGATCCAATGATTATATAGTGAAAATGCATGAATTATTTGAAAATCTTTTTCTTTGCTCCTGGGTAATATGCCAAAGATATAAGTACATATTTATAATGAAGAAAGGTGCCTCTTCCAAAATGATTAATTTCAGGGCCCCTGGGTCAGGGGTGCTGGGGGGGTACTTAGTCTGAAGATAAATTAATACTTTGAAATCTGCTCTTTTGTATTAATCAACCATTTATGATGAAATAAAATTTATGATAAAATTTCCAAAATTTTGAAATATGTGGCCCCAGGGTCAGTGGTTCCTAAGGGAAGGAGTGCACAACTGGTTATAAAGTGACTTTAAATTTAAGTGGAAGTGCATTTTCTCTTTGTCACTCTGGTCTACCTCTTGGTAACTATAGTAAGAATGTTAAGTGTATAATTAAGATAAACAGTGGTGCCTCTTTCAAAATTGTGATTTTCATTGCCTCTGGTTTAAAACTCAAACCAAGTTCAATTGTTGGAAAGGTATTACATGATACTCAGGTGACCTGTAAGGCCTGTGGGCCTTTTCTTATTAAAAGAGCATAGGAAGTCTGTAACAAATTCTGGTTTGCTTTTTATAAATAGTGGTTAATATTATCAATATAAATATTTCAGAGTGATGAAGAGGAGGAGATGCCACCAGAGGCAAAGATGAGAATGAAGAATGTGGGAAGGTAAGATTGGAAATAAAAGCAAGATTTTTTTTCTGTTACATATATATATATATATATATATATATATATATATATATATATATATATATATATATATATATTATATATATATATTTTTTTTTTTTTAACAACAATTGCCTTGAAAATTCTGCTCTATTTGACCTTGTTTACTGTTCAGTCAAATTAGCTTTCATGCATTCCTGTTTATTGTAAATTCAAATCCTAGCTGAGATAGGATCTAAATTTGATTTTAAGAATATCAGAAAAGACTTCAATATGCAACCATTCCCATACATGTATAATGTATATTTAGTTTTATTCTATTCAAGACCCATGGAAATAGGGCAGGAACACAAACATTTTAAACTCAGAAATATATAAACATGCAAGAAGAACTCATTTGCAAACAAAAATGGATGCCATTCTTCAATTAAGTGTAAATTAATTATTATAGAAATGTTTGCATGATTTAATTTGATGATGACAGTAATGGATCTTTTTTTATCTATGTATGAATTTGTCAACAAACAAAAGAGTCACAGAACAGGTGAGCAATATGGCCCAGGTGCATCTTGTTTTGATTAGGCTCCAAACCAAATGAAAAACAAATTTAAACAAATTGAGGGTGAGAATAGAATTAATGTTATGTCTGTGTGATGGATTTACTACACAAATATTGTTTATAGAGTGCTAAATTACAAGGTGGCAATTTTACAGATGATGAAAACTTTAAAAAATATTTTGTCTTTCAGAGATACCCCCACATCAACAGGTCCTAACTCTTTTGGAAAAGGCCGTCTGGGATTCAGCGATAGAAACAGCTTATTCCAGAAAGAAATGCTGAAGCAAATGAATGACGTGTGTGATGACTGAGGACTGAAAACTTTATGGAGCTTAATAAAGCTTCCATTCTGACAGTTTATTACCTGGTGAACATTGTAATGGTGTATGTGTAGATTTTTATGATTAAAAAAACTCTTCATACATCTAGCTTTTCAGAAAAAATACCGGTACAAATACTAGTATGTGTAAGTAAACCAGTAAAAATAGGATTTTTTGACATGTAAAATGAAGTCGAGATACCCATACCTAAACTAGTGCAATCTTAAAGCACAGGAAGCTCCTAGATTTTAGAGGACTTTTGTGTCAGCTTTGAAAAAACATTATGTTCTAATTCGTTCACACTCAAACGAACATAAATCATCTATACCATAAATAAACACAGTGTGTAGGTACAGAAGCGCTCTCAAGAGTGCAGTTTATTTACAACATCATACAAAAATAATCTTCGTAATATAAAGTCTTGTTAAGTCCATTCTCTGTAATAACGAGAAAAAAGATAATATGAAATACATGTATTACAATATAAACACTGTGAGGGTGCGTGGGTGGGCGCCATGTCTATACTACACGAAGAGAGAGCCTTCGAATGGGGTTTAGTTGTTAAACAGGTGATAAGGTTTGTCGCGTAAAATACCTGTTAAACAGGTTCTATTTCTGAAATAACTAACCAATGAAAATTGGGTTCCGGTATAAATATAAATAAACAAACAAGTGTTCGATCAACACACGTGTTACTATAACTGTAATAAATACATATATTCTGTATCAGAATGCTATGATTTATAAATTTTGTAATATACGAAATCAATTTTTCTAGGAGTTTCAATGTATAGTCATGACGTTGTCTATATTGACTTATGAAATAGTAAAAATGTGTCACTAAATCTGACCATCTATTCCGACATGTCCAAGTATTCTATAAAATTGTGAACTGATTGATGTGTTTGAATTTTCAATCATTAAATTATATACAGTGTGTATCTATATTTATACGAGTCCATGTGGTGTACTGTATTTAAAATAAAAGAATCCAGTACTAATCATTTTATTCATTATAGATCACCTTTAATAGCTGGACGTTGAGTTTTCTGATTGAAGTGTGTCGACTGTAAAGTCATGAAAAATAATTTAACTTTCAAATTCCAGAGCTTCTGTAGATCAAGTTATAAAATGTAACTGGGAGAAAATTCAGATGAATTCCATGTCACTTTGCTGTCAAACTTAGATAATGTTAATTATTTTATAAATTGACATTGAAATTGTTTGTTCTTCATGTCATATTTATTGCATTTTACAAATAAATTACTTGGAGCTTACGAGATGTGCTATTTTTTATTGGCAGTTAATTTTTCAAATTGTGATTTTGCAATGACTATCTAAGTACAATCAAACCTTGTGTTCAGTTAATTTGCCTCTGTGCATTCAAGATAAACCCAGGTCATATGCCATCAAACATGACGTAAATACATATACTTCTGGTTCTGGAGTAAGCTATACACACACCACATGTACCAAGTCAATGGATGTTTTAAAATACCTTGATTGCATAGCTCCTTTTTAAACCATTTTTATGATAATTAGGGTTTTGCAAAGATTTGCTCGTGCCCACAATAGATCAGTCAGTCTCTGTTTAGGGAGCATTTACCCAAATGTTGTACATCAAGCAGAGTAATAATGAACTGGAATGTTTATAAACATTTCTAATTTGAGTCTTCAACAAAACTATAGCAAAGACTTGGCAAAAATTGTTTCAACATCAAGTTTTTATATGCCCATCTTAAGAAGGGACATATTCTGTTATAAGCTTCGTGTCAGTCCGTCCGTCTGTCTGGTAGCCTTTCTCGTGTCCAGCTCATAACTTTGATACTATTAGGCCTACAGTTATCAAACTTTGTCAGCTGATACATGTTGCATAGAAGGTGTGTCGCGCATAAAATGTAAGTCACTCGGACCTATGATTAAAAAGTCATAGCCAAATATGTAAAAATCCCTTAAGGCCCACAACTAGAAAACGATTAGACTTGGAATCATCAAACTTGGCCTGTTAACGCATCTTAGGTAGAAAGTGTGTCGCGACCTATTTCAAGGTCACAGTGACCTTTAATTTAAGTGAAATTTTATAAAGAAAATGTATCTTTTTACTCTTCAATCACACATTCCAAAAATGTCAGAGTATTGCACTTAATCCTTATTTAAAAAGTGTTAAGAAAATACTTATTTTTTTAAGCATATACTTGACAGCAATCTATAACAAATATAATTTATTACATTTTTACCCGTGAAATACTGTAATTTATTCATTGAATAAAAATGATATCCTGTCACAGTGTGAAAGGATATCAAAATGATATCCCGTCACAGTGTGACGAATATCAGAAGTGCGGGAAAACTCTCGATTTCCCCTCCCATAGCGAAGATTGCTGTAAAAATATCTTCCTTGACCTAATCTAAGATAGATGAAAATAAATAAACCATTCTGACTGCGAATAAAACTGTTAAAATTAACAAAAATATGCTGCTAAATCCAAGTTTACAGTGTTTTCACCTCACATTGCTATGACGTTTCAACCGCTCAACTATGACGTCACGAGCCTATGGCTGTATTACAAAAAGACTATAGGCAAAGGAAAAATAAAAGAAATTTATTTTAAAAATGTAATAAACAGAAAATTCAATGTTTTGTAGTTGAATATGAATTTATTTCAGAGACAGGATTTTTTGATATTTTCACTCGTGCTTCGCACTCGTGAAAATATCAAAAATCCTGTCCCACTCGTGAAATAAATTCCATATTCAACTACAAAACATTGAATATCCTCTATGTATGTTAGAGAAATTCCACCTTCCCCATGAGTGTTATTATCAAGCACTGGTCAAGAAGAATTTTGATAACAGAAAATTGCATGTCAAATTAGAGAAAATTAATGAATTTAGTGTGAAGAGCTAACTGGTAGAGCATCTCTGATCAAGCAGGTGTTATCTATATCCCTTGGGAATTGAGCTAATGGGGTCAGCCTATTGAATTACAAATAGTTCTCGTTTGCTAGCTTAAGTTTTGAAATGAATTTGATGAAAAGTAATGAAAACTAATTTGATATTGCTTAATAAACTAATCTGATATATAATTAATTTAGAAACTAATTTTATGGGGTCAGAGTGGAATCGGCATGTCCATTTGTCCATGTAAATTGCATATTAAAACCTGTCTGACATTAAATCTAAAATAAAAAAAAACATTAAGTATTTTTAATATTTTAAAAATGTTTTGTTGTAGATATTGCAGATCCATTCATCTCTTGGGAGTAATGAGTAGACAAGCATCCAGTCAAAGATTATCAATTAATGGGTTCAATGCAGGATTAGGCTAGCTGTCTCAATCATTTCTTTAGAGCATCTCTGATCAAGCAGTCTTATCTGTATTCTTTGGGAATTAGACAGAAGAATTGTTGGTCAGTTTAAAGTAAGCATATGTCATTTGATGGCTAGCCTTTTATTTCAAAATTAATTTGGTATAGATTAAGTTGTTAAGACTATATAATTTGATATTGTTTAATATGATGAGCATTTGACAAGGTTTAACACAACCAGTATAGAAATCAATCAATGATGTAATATTTGTTATAATTAATGCCTACACCACAAAGGATGGATAACCAAATATTTAAAGAATGGAAAAGGTCATGGAAATCTTAGAATCAAGGTTGACATGATTTTCTTGCACTCTGAACTGTTTAAGATCATAATTGTAATTTTTTGATGAGTGTATTCATGCTGTTGCATAACACTTTATTAATAATGTACACCTAAATCACTTCATATATCTAGGTTCAGAAAATTCAGAAGTGTTGATTAATCCACAGGCACTTATAGTATGGACCCCTTCCCCTCCCTGATCATATCAGTCAAGAACAATTTACTTAGAAACAGCTTAGAGAGACAAAAGGGCTACATTATTGATAACTTGTTATTGGTATAGTGCATGTTAGAATACAAAAATAGGAAAAAGGTGCCTCAACACTAAATTTAAAAATAAATTGGAAAAAAGGGGGTCCATACCCCAAGTGCCTGTGAAATAATCTGGAAATTTTTACAGAAGCAGTGGTGTCTAGATTTGACAAGTTCTACAATTGGTACAAATAATTCATTTAAAAATTATGAATTATCTACAAGAATATCAAATATTTTCAAAGTACTCATACATAATACTACATATATTATATAGATTTTATTACAAAATATCGTATGTGCAAGTTTCTATTTCTTATGTCTTAGCTGTGAATAAAGCACCTCTAAATTAAGAAAAAGGTTGATAACTTGCTCTGTCACATATGAAAATTTTACTAGGCATGACAATTATATGAACAAAAACTGTTAATATTTTTTTTGATGAAGTAATTGATATACAGACCTAGAGATAAAAGAATTCAACAAAACAAAATATAAAGTCTACAGGATTAAAATGTATAAATTGATAAAAACATACCACAGATATTAAAGTTAGATTTATATATATATATATATATACATACGTAATGATACTGTGGACCTTCAGATATCCGGATGCTTCAGTATCCGGACGATTTATCATGGGAACAGAATTTATTTATGTTATTTTGTTTTGTTTAACTGGTATTTCAGATATCCGGACGCTTCACATATCCGGACAAATGACTGGGAACTAAAGCGTCCGGATAAATGAGGGACCACTGTACATATTTTGCATGAAAAAAATTAAAGCATAGCAAATTATTACTTTTATGAAAGGAGCATTTTTGAATTTTGAAGACTACAGGCTGATTGGGCCATGTGTTTTGATTAGATTTATTAAGAATGAAAACCCATTTTAATTGTTTATGCCCATATTACATGTGTATACATGTACAATGTATCATTTTTTAAAAAGTTCACTTTCTTCAATATACAAAAAAAAAAAATCAGCTTTGATGTAGACTTTATGTGAAGCAGGGTCCAGTTGTCTCTGGCATATTTTAAAGAACACTGCAGCATGATAAGTTTGATATAAAATTATCATTCCATCAACTCGACAGTAGTGCCGCGGCATCCTCTACTGACCCTGCCTGTAGTAAAATGTCTCGTAACATTTCCCGGTCATACGAAGGAAACATACGCTGCAGCTCCCTGAGGGAGGGGTCATTGTAGGAGTTACCGAGTGAAATGTCATCAAGAGTGTTCACAAGTTCAGGATCCCCATAATTATGGCGGGTGTCACCACGTGAGACTCTTTCACTATCCTCCTAGTGAAATCGTACAGTTTTAGTTAGAAAATTCAATATTGATCAGAATTATAGTATGCATATATTAATCTGAAGAGAATTTTTTTACACTGAAAAAGCAAAAGATGCCCACTTTGCATTAGGTTTATAAAAGTTTAGTTTGTTTTTCCACAGATTTGAACTAATGAGGCTGCTTATAATTGTTTTAGTCAAAGTATTAAAATCACTGTACATAGTTTCAGATCCAATTCCATGAATTATCTAAGAAAAATATTAACTCAGAGAAAATTATAAAAATTCTGACTTGATGGGATTTTTAATGTCAATTATAAAGGCCTAAATAGAAACAAACTAAATTTTAATTCATTCACATAGTGTGAAAAAACATTTCCGTGTAAAATAATTGATTTATGTAACCCCAGTTTATAAAATATACATACTGTTTCCACAACAGTTGGGACTGTGCTAGCACTGGGTTGACTATATTTAGATCTGGCCTTTGATTTCTGTTCTGCCTCGATTCGTCTGAGGAATGCCTCGTTTTTCGCGCGATGGTCCTCCTGTAGCTTCTGCTGCCTCTGTTCATCTGATCGCGTGTTCTGCTGAGCTTTTCTCCTCTGTTCAGCTTTCTTCTTCGAGACCTCTTCATCTTCTCTCCTCTTCACAGCGTCTCGGGCTGCTTGTCTTTTCTGAATACTGTCGAACTTTGAAGACTTGTGGATTTGGGCTTGTTGATTTCTAGCCTCGTTCTCAGTTTTCTGTGCCCCTCCAACTGTTCCTACGTAGCTCACATGACCAAGTCTGTTATTTTCCTTGTGCCTAGAGAGAAGGTGTTCAAAGAAGGACAACTCATATTATCAATGAGAATAATTGTAACTGATGATGAATGATTTATGATTACAGTTTTCTTAAGAACTGAGACAGCAGGAACATTAAAAAAATTAGAAGTTCAGTGAGAAGCTGGGGATCTGGATTTTCTCCCTTAACTGAAATTGAGAGGAAAATCAGAATAACTTGGGGATTTGGTCATTATAGTTATATAGGGAAAATCCCTGGCCGATGGGTCTTAAGGACATCCCTGTGAACATGGTGAATCTCCCGAGTTCATTAATTGTGCTGATATACAGCAATTTTTTTTAACATTTATCGATAAAGGATCAAGGTATACAGTGGTATATATGTCTTTATGCAGTTAAGCATATCCACTGTTTGCCATTCCAATATTAAATGAACAAAAAAAAAAAAAGATTATCAGGTCCTATATTTAGACAGCTACCGTACCGCTGATAGGCCTCTTCTTCCCGCCTGGCTTGCTCCGCAATCTGTTGTCGTCTCTTTTCATTGGGAGTTATCATAGTATAGGCACCTTGGTGGCTCATTCTCTGGTCCAACCCAGCTCCCCCTCCCCCGGGCTGTCGACCGTCGACACCCCCATCCCCCAATTGTCCCTGATCTCTATCCATATCAGCTTGGGTGGATCGTGTTGCTAGTCTGTCTGTCTGTGTTCTCACGCTCGTTCCTCCTCTCGCTCTCCCTCGCCCTACCGACGGTTGGTTTGTAGGGGCACCCCTTCCTCTGCCCTGACTGTACGCTACAGATGGTTTAACTGTAAATGATCTACTCATATCTGTGTTTTCTCTTTGTTGTTTATAATTAGATACTGGAAAATCTGTTTTCTTTTGATTTTCTAAAAAATTCCTTCGATTTTCGGTTTCACTTTGTTGTTGACATTTGCAACCACGACTTCAAAAGCTGAAGAGTTCTATAATAAAGGGATATAACTTGTATTTTAAAATTCAAGACTGTTTGAGTAGCAATTTTTACTTTGATACTCTCTGAAATATAGGCCCTACCTGTATATAGTAAAATTAGTACCATTCATGGACTTTGGAGAAAAAAAATCAACGATGAAGCTGTTTGGGTGATTTACAATAAATGACAATCATGAATGAAATAAATGATTTAATTAAAGTATTCTCATTCCTCCTAGCTAACATAGCTAGACATGTTCCCATTCACTAAATAATTTTGAAGTAACAACAACACCTCTACATATGTTGTTAATGTCTCAGAACTGGGTCGATACGGAGAGCATGCTCTGAGTTCCATCAATTTGAAACCGATTCAATCTTGTGACAAAATAAGTTGAGGTTACAAGGCATTCAACACACCGATTAATCAACTTCTGGGAAAAGTAAATACTGTAAATACATGTACCACCTATTTTTGTCGTATCTAGTCTAACACGTTTAATGCATATTTGGTGTTGACTCGATCTGTTTAACAGGTCGTTGTTCTTGCTCATGATCGATCTGCTGCCATAGGGCTCACGGCGGGTGTGACAGGTCGACAGGGAAGAATTCCTTCTCCCAAGCACCTGATGTCAGCTCTGGTGTTTATAGGGTCATTGTGTGCCCTGTTCATGATTTTTTTTAATGGAATTATACGAGATCGATCTTTGTTTGTTATATATTTCCATTAGCAAAAATGTCAAATATGGCGAAGATTGAAGTTTCTCAATTAAAATACAAATCAAATTCCAAGGTCAATCTTGAGATATAAAATACTGTTACCCAAAGAAGGGCCTTGTGTCAATAGATATACCGGAAAGTCCTTGTATTAACCATTCAAAAGTTATGGCAAAAGTTAACTTTTGGTGGTTCAAACTCTAAGGTCAAGGAGAAGACTTATCACCATCGATTTAGGTCTCTGCCCTACTGAACTCAACGGGCGGGTAATGGGGAAATCCAGATGCATAAAATCAAAAAGGGGGCTACTCAACCTTATTTGATTGACATTCATGGCTGTAGGAACCGGTGGGGAGGAGGGGGGGGATCTCCCTCTCCTAATAATTTTGCCAAGATATATAATACTATATAGAGACATAGGCGTCGGAACCGGGTAACCCCCCCCCCCCACTTTCAACAGACATGTTACAGTCAAAAAAGGGTAAATAAATGTTTTAAATGTAGTAAAAAATCTGGTACTGAAAGGTGTTCGACCCCCCCCCCCCCCCCAACACACACACACACCACTAAATAGGATTTTCGTGTTTGGAAAGTGGTGAACAATTCCTTTTTTTTTTTTTTTTTTTTGTAGGTTTGAAATTTTTTTCTTTCACTTAGCACTCCCCGCCACTTTCAATTCAAGACACCAATGAGAGAAGACAACTACATGTATATGCTTGTGTTCCTTAATTTAAAACGACTAGCTATATGCCTTTTCTATTAGTGGAGTGACAAGACCATCAAAAATTTGATTTTAATGTACCACCCTACCCTACGGCTAATTTGTACTTTTTTGGTGAGATATATTATCAGGCAATAATTTTTACCCGGTCGTAGAAAATTCTATGGTCAAAATTTAAAATAAAAGGAGATCAAAGATCAATGAATGAAATCTGACCATAATATTGTACATAATAATAAAAGTTCAAGGAATTCGTGAAAATAATTGTATATTTGTATAGGAATTTTATTTATTCGATGAATATATTGATTTCATGGAAAAGGAAAGAAAAATTGAATAAGAATGCCCGTGTGTCTGTCTGTAAAATGAAAGATTTGTCTTATAGTATTTTATTTAAACTTAAAATGTTTAATGCTAATGTACGTTATTCTTCACGTACAATCACGTAATATTTAGTACAAAAAGTAAAAAAATAAATAAAAACAAGACAACAACAACAACAACACCCACCACCCCTTGCCCCCCCCCCCCCCCCCCCCACACACACACTCTCTCTCTTAAAAAAAACGAAATATGACCATAAATTTCGCACTTTTTTAAATGTAACGTTTTTATTAAGCTTTTTTCATCTGATTCATTATTTTTTAAAGAAATTGTTCGACGCTTTTTGGAAAGCCTTTTTAGTAAAAATTCATCCAGAGGTCACCCTTGCTCTCGCACGGAATTTCGGCACTCCGGTCTCATCCAAAGGACAGACAACAGACTAGTCTTAATACCGGGTATTATTCCTTTCTCTCTCTTAAAAAGTCAATTTTTTTATCAAAGAATGTTGTCTATGATTTGAAAATTTATGTTTAATTTGGTGAACTTTTGAATAAGCGTTTACTCATGAATTAAGCAAATTATATTGTAGAGATTTGGGGGTTTCGAAAGATTTTAAACACGTATTGGTGTTGAAGTTGCAATTCTTTGAAAGAGGGTGAAGATTGAATTAATGACGTTTGCTAGAGCTGTAATTTCTATTCATTGGTTTTCATGAACACGTATATGTACAGGGTGTTTCACAATATATGTCACACATCTAAATGGGCATAATCTGAATATTGTGCATGATACCGGAAATACCAAAACACCATAAGTAAGCATATTGATCTAAAATTATGATGTTGCAAAGTATTGGAGAAATTATAATATACCATGAAGTAACTGATGATATAATCAGTGATGGCATAATTTCAGCTGTTCTCAAAATGGAGAACAACTTGCAGCAAAGATTTGTTCTAAACTTTTATTATAAGAACGATATCCTAAATATTGTACAGGATTGATGATGAAAAATATCCAGAACAGAAATTGCTGTTTAGGTTTCATATATTAAGAAAAATTGAAGATTTTGAACTAAATTATGATATAAGGATGAAAGACAGTTAAACCATGCGTCCTCCACCCCAGCCCCCCCCCCCCTTCCCTCAAAGCCCCAAGAAAAAAAAATCAAGAAATGACAACAATATCAAAATGAAGTCAATCATTGAGAAAAACTCATGAAATTTAGATCTGATCTAGGGAAATGGATTGAAACAATGCCGGTAAGAGTATCAAGTGTATTTAGAAGTCTTAAATTTGAGTTAAGTTTGTCTGCATGCAAGATTTCAGCATTTTAAGTCAATTGACGTTCAGAGCCGATTGAATTTTGCAAGATTGACTGAAAGGAAGAGCGAAAGAAGTGGACACCATCTAACAGGTAGTGTTAGTTCCGAAACGACACATTTAAAATGCAACTTCAAATAACAATAGATATGCACTTTGGGGGTTCTAAAAAGCCAAGAAAAGCTTCAAGTATCCCATGAAACTTTCAAAATAGTGGTCAGAAATTTCTTAGCATTTGTCTCTTATTTAGGACAATGTTGGGAAAAACTTGGAGAATGTCATTTTAGGATTTGTTGCCATAGTAACTGAAGTGGAGAATGTTGGATACTTCTGATGCCAAAAAAATAATTTTGAATAGATACTGATTAAAACGATATATAAATTGTATATGTTGCTTTAGTTGTCATTTATCTATCTTGTCTTTAGATATGTGACATATATTGTGAAACACCCTGTATATCTTTATTGTTAACTTTTCAAGTATATGTTTCATTTGAAAACTATAAAAGCAGAAACTTTGTAAAAGAGCTACACTGTAAAAGTAATGATAGCCGATCCTTAAAAAGATAATTCAGGTTGGTAGATAATAATTAGAACAGAAAAAATTGTTGATCACGTGGCAATATTCACATTAAATGCATGTCGTGCGTGGCTTTTTTCATCTGCTGACTGGAAATATTTTTGAATTTTGAAAAAAGGCTGATTGCCAAAATACTCAGTAGTCTTTGTCATTTCATCAGAAGTCCTAAAAAGAATGTTGAAAACCCCTTGTTGTATCTGTGGTTGGTTAAAGATACCGTATATAGTACTTTGTCTTCTGTCTCCATTGTTATTTGTAAAATTAATACATGTATTAGACAATTAATTCTTGAAGCAAAACTGACAATTCTTTCTCAAAAGGAAAAATATCGAAAAAGCTTTCTTATAACAGAACAGACCATGAGTTTTCCTATAGCAAAAACTTTAGTGGATTGCTTTTACGGTTCCGTTTGATTCATATCTTCCTTTCTGGTACGAAGTTCTGTAAGCAAAATATGATATCCCCGCTCATGAAGGATTATAGTAACAGAGTTCAATTTTTGGCAGTATGTCCATGTAAATGAGGAAATGCGTAAACAAAATATGTATCCCTTAGTTTGAATAATGACAAAGTCCATGTTTTTGCTGTAGAAAACACTAAATATATTTCCGAAGGAAACATGAAATAGTTTCTGTAAAATGATATACAGTCTTTAAGATGAAACACTAAAATCGTTTTTCTCTTTCTGTTTCATATTTGCGTTAATCTGTATTGCTTATGAAGTAGAAAGGCAATATCCAATCATGCAAGATACCTGGTTCAAACAAGAATGTGAAGGAAAAGTGACATGTTTGTCCTTTACGTATTTTTTTAAATTGAAAAAAAGGAAAATTACTTTCAAATGCTCATTAATTTGAATTCAAACTGCATATAAGCGTTATCTTTTTAATAATAGAAGCCATTCTAATATATTTAACAATATTTTGATCGATGGAGTCACTGTCATACACATAATGGGATTCTATAATCCGTTTCCAGTTACACAAAACATTTTAGATCAAGTAGAATACAAGACTTAGTGTGAGGATGTCTTTAAAAAAGTGCGGTTTATTTGATCAGAAATCATGGTCTTATAAATCTTTCTAACGATCAAGTAAACATGCGTTATTAACATCGCATGAAATAATTGTATTGAATATATTTTTTTTTAAATTAACGCAAAACATAAGTTGGTTTTTTGTTAAAGGGGGGGGGGGGCAAATGATATTCCTGATTAATTTAATTTTGCATTGTTA